ATCCACAGATTTGGTAGAATCTGGCGCCAAGTTCCGTTCAAATCCGTTGTCGACGGAGCGCCAGACTACCGACTGTGTTTACTGTAAGCAGAACGGTATTTTGAGGTTGCAAAATTTTATTTAATTCTACGGTACTTTTTTTTTCCTAAATTGTATATTATAACAGTAATTCATACTTTATTTTACTGTTATTAATTAATTATATTCACTTATAACAATTAATCTACTTGAAATTACTAAATTTGATCAGCACAAACTATAGCAACGCAAAAATTTCGCAAACATTCGATTGAAGAAAACAAAATAAACTACAAAAAACTTCGAGCAAAATCAAGAAATACATTGAAAAAGAGCAAAACAATGGCATGGAAAAATTATATCAGTGCACTAAACCCTCTAGTACCGTTAAAACAAATATGGAAGACTATAAAAAGAATTCAAGGCCCAAAAACAACATATTTTACCTCCACTATGATAAATGAAAATAACAAGGTCATCAACTCTATACCCGAGATAGCAAACTTACTAGCCAACACGTTTGCTTATAACTCTAGTGATAATATATACGAAGATGAATTTAAGGTTTATAAAGAAAGTACAGAAAGAGAAAACCCAATTGTTCTACGACTGGAAACAAATGAGAATTCTGAAATGAAATTATTAAACGAAGAGTACTCAATGGAAGAACTTACATTTGCTAAGTCCAATAGCCCAGGCCCAGACGAAATCCTATTAGTACTAATCAAACAAATATCACCTAAATGTAAACACCTATTACTAACTATATATAATAAATTGTGGACAACAAACTCATTCTCAAATATATGGAATAGTTCAATAGTCATCCCATTAGCTAAACCTAACAAAGATAAAACAAACCGTAGCAGCTATAGACCAATTGCTCTCACGTGTATTTTAGGAAAAATTATGGAAAAAATGGTGAATCGCCGACTAAAATGGTACTTGGAAAAAAATAACGTCCTGTCCCCATTCCAAAGCGGTTTTAGACAATTCAGATCTACTAATGACCATCTCGCATTACTGGAAAAATTCATATGCCAAACATTAGCTGAGAAAGAACATGCCATAATAGTAAGCCTTGACTTAGAGAAAGCTTATGAATGTACATGGAAACATAGAATTGTCATGCATTTAATCAATCTAGGATTCCAAGGACACATTATTGCATTCGTCATAAACTTTCTGAATATTCAACAATAAGAGTAAGAATAGGACAAACATTATCAAAATCACGTGAATTAATAAACGGAATACCTCAAGGAACGGTACTAGCAGTAACATTATTCCTCATCTCGATTAATGATGTAATAAGTGAAATAGAAAGACCTGCAATTGGAGCGTGGTTTGCTGACGATGGTGCTATAATGACTAGAGGTAAAAATATTAATACTTGTGTTGAAATTATACAAAGAGCACTAAACAAATTGAGAAGCTGGTGTAATAAGACTGGATACAAATTCTCACCGACAAAAACAGAATTTATGATATTCACACGATCAAGTAAAATTAAATTGGAAAATCCTAGTATATACATTGGAGAAAACAAAATAAGACAAGTAACGGAAATGAAAATATTAGGGTTAATTTTTGACACTAGTTTAAAATGGGACCTACATATAAAAGAGTTGCACAAGGAATGTAAAAGAAGGTTAAACATCATAAAAGTCCTCTCAGCAATTGAATGGGGAGCAGATAAAGATGTACTCATAAATACATATAAAGCAATTGTACAGTCCAAACTTGATTATGCCTCAATATTCTACATGTCTGCAAAAAAGAAACTACTTAAATCATTGGATACAATACAAATATCAGCCATTCGAATGTCTATTGGAGCTTTCAGAACTAGTCCGACAGAAAGCATTTTAGTTGAAGCAAATATTCCTCCCTTAGAACTACGCAGATACACTCTAGCAATAAATTATAGCAACAATAACAGAAACAAGATATGGAATGATAATGACTTAATATCATGGGAATTACTGCCTAAATAACTACAAATTTATAAACCACTCAAAGTCAGAGTTGAAAAATATAAACAATTATTGAATATACAAACATTCCAAGCCTTTGATAGAATAATTCCTTGCTTTGCTCCATGGAAAAAACAAACAATAATTATAGACTGGCACATAGCAGAATACACCGATGGTAAAAATATAACAATGCCCAAAATCTATGTGAGTCTATTTCAAGAAATGATTTCCAAATATAAAGATCATATAAAAATATACACAGACGGATCAGCAGGCATATCCAATTAAAGGATGTTCGGTCATATTCAACGACATTGAAGAAATGCACAAACTACCCTTAGCATACTCATCTTTTACATGTGAAGCTTATACGATCTACCAAGCAATGACACGTTTTATAAATTCCCCCTGCAACAAAGGTATTATAATGACAGATTCTAAATCCTCCTTAGAAGCTATTGCAAATCCAAACACCAAAAATCCAATGATAGTAAACATCCAAGAAGTCATACATAAATGTTCTATAAAAAACAAAGAAATTACCCTCATATGGATACCATCCCATGTTGGGATAACATGCAATGAAAAAGCAGACGAATTAGCTAAAACAGCAGCCCAATTATCAACATTATCAAATACTAAAGTCCCTCCAAAAGATTTAAATATCATGACGCATAAAAAAAGAGATGAATATTGGAATACAGTATGGTTAAATAAAAACCCATCTAAATTAAGGGAAATAAGACAAAATATTTGGCAAGTAACTCCACAATCGATGAACAGAAATGACCAATGCATATTAACAAGATTAAGAATAGGACACACAAACTTCACACACAAACACTTAATGGAGCGACAACCACCCTCGAGATGTCAATTTTGTCAAACGGAGCAAGCTTCAGTAAAACACTGGTTGATACAATGCACAGGCCTGGAGAACCTAACAAGAACATTGAAGATTCCCGCATCACTGGAGGAATGTCTGAGCAGTATTAAAGAATTTTCAAAAGTAAAAAGATTCCTAGAAATTACCAAATTAATAAAAGACATTTAACATATTAGATACTAGCAATGTAAAAAATCTATATATATATATATATAATAATGTAAGGCGGTCACTAATGACCAAGTGGTTGAAGTGACCTTAAATATTAATAATAAAAAAAAAAAAAAAAAAAAAAATTAACATTTTTTAATTTTTTTTATTCTGTTTATTTTTACAGCGCATTAATGATAAAAAATGTCGTGAAAGAAAAGAAAAGATTTCGATAGATTTTTTTGCCTTTAAAAGTTAGAAAAAAATTTTGGCTCTCATGTTTTTGGATAAAATTTCTATTTTATCTTTTTTTGATGTTTTTGACATATTTTTTTTTTTTTAAAGTACAAAAAAAACGAACAATTAAAAAAAAAAAGTTGAATACTACAATTTTCTAAAAAATTTATAAATTTATTTTGAAAATTTTTCAAAATTGTGATAATCAACATTTTTTTTTAATTGTTCATTTTTTATGACACTGCAGTTATCAGACGTCTAAAAATTTTTGATTTTATTTTATTAATTAAATTACAACTAAAAAGATTTTTCTAAAAAATTGCACTTATAGTTTTTTAAGTATTTTACATGTAAAATTTTTTTTTTAAGTTTTTTAATTGAAATTTTTTCAATAAAAAATTTCTAAAAATTTTGAAATATCAGCTAACTTCATTTTCATCATTTTTTATGTATTTTTCAAAAAAAAAATATATCAAAATTTTCAAAAAAAAATTTTGTTCAAAAATAAGAAAATTAAAATGGTAGACCCTACTTGTAAATATTTACCAATAAATCTTTTAGAATAATCGAAAAGTACAAAATTAATAGCCTAGTAAGTTATTAAAAAAAAACTTAAAATTCTGTATATTATTTCTTCAACATTATTTATCAATATCTTTTTTACTTACAGCGTATGCATTTCTTTTAAAATACAATTTTGTGAAATTCACGTTGAAAGTTTCATTAGGATAAAGAGTTAAGAGTCCGACGCTCTCGAACATGTGGAATAACTCCGTAAATATTAAAAATTTTTATTTTTCCTCTTGACAGAATACTTTCAATTTATTGTATTTCCAAATCTAAAAAAAAAAACTTCATTAATTCAATTTTAATTTCTAAAGGGATTTTCCCTTGAATGTGTTAAATTAAAAAAATAAAAACAATTACAATTACCTCAATGATTTTATCATGTTCCGATAGTTCTTGGAATGCTACACACATTTAAAAAAAAAATTTCTTTTAATTGGTAAGTTTTCTCTTAATAAAAAATTTTTCTAGTATTTTGTTAGCATCCTTGTGCAATTATAAATAAATTAAAAATAAAGATATGAATAATGAGATAAGTATTTTTTCAGATAAAACCCCAGCGATAGCAAAACTGCATAATGAGAACGGTAGGCGTTGATTATTATGATGAAAGATTCGAGCTGAGCTCCCAGCAAATTAGCGTCAACGGTCAGCTAAAAGTTAAACGTTAAATGCAGAATGCTAAAACGCTTACCACTGCTCGCGCTGGTTGCTGGAGGTTTGCACCTACCTCTACTTGTCCAACTTGTGTATAAATGTTCAAGGATCGTTCAATATTTTCCACGTGTCTGTGTGCCGTATTACTGCCGGTGGTCGGTGGTCTATGGTGTATGTGTAGGTAGGAGAGTAGACTGCAGCAGTTTCGCGCAGAGAAGTTAAGAGACAACAAGTAAAGGAAATTCGAAATTGAAATGCGAGTTGCTTCTGTTGATCAGTCGATACCGGGCGTTCGGAAGATACACATGCGATTAATATGGCTAATGCCATGATTCAATTACCAATTACCCTCCTAATTGGAATTTACTTTGTTTCAATCGCCAAATTATCACTATCAGAAGCTCTTGATATCGATAAAATTAGTAATAATACCAACGAAACATGTCCTGATTCGCTTTCTGTTGTCTTAGAGTCTCACAATTTGGAGTATCTTCCCAACGGGTCTTTTCTTCATCATCAAAGTACCCAGGAAGTTTACCCTCAGGAATTTTTGCGGAAAGATAACGACACCACTTACGCGTGCGTTTGCAAACAAGGCTTCGGTAGAACTTGTATCAGAAAGTGTTGTCAAGGCAACGAATTTTTGAAAGTTTCCAACTACGATGACAAATCCGAGTGCACTGAAATAGAAGATAAGTTTTTAAAAGTACCAGATCTTCTTCCCGCTAAAAATCAGCTGGAAAATAAATTGGAGAATATCAGTGGACTTTCCCAGCAATTTCGCATTATTGTTAATCAAATCTGTCCGTTTGGAAGATACCGCTTGGAGCCAGAACAATTTGAAGATGATAACTTTGTAATTTTCTCGAACGGGACCCTGAAAACAGGAGATCTTACGTTAACCCAGTCCCAGTACTGTTTAGACTGGGACCATGATTTTAAAACAATAATTGTGCTTGTGTGTCACTCACCCGAATTAGACGTGGAAGAAGAAAACCCAATGGTGACAATTGTCCATCCAATTGGAGTTATTATCTCGATTCCATTTCTCGTAGCGACGCTTTTTGTTTACGCTGTGATTCCAGAATTGAGAAATCTTTACGGAATCACGTTGATGTGCTACGTCGGGTGTCTTCTTGGGGCATATATCTTCCTTGTCACCGGCAGGCTTATTTACCACAGACATTTTTCTTGCGTCATAATCGGTAAGTTGTTGGTCGTTAGTCATTAATATTATTAATGACCTGTGAGTTATTTTTTCTTCCTCTTTTATTTAATTGTTTATGAGATGGCAGATGAATTATTACAGCTTGTGATTTTTCTTCAGCTGGTTAACTTTTTTTATTTTTAACTCGGATCGACATCACACTTGTACGCTGATCTATCTTTGTCTCGCTTTAGAGTTTTATTAAGTGCATGCTCTAAATTACGCTGTACATTACATATAATACTCGACTATTTTTATTAAAATTAATTAATGTCAATGGCAACGGTAATCTTTAACGAAAAATATAATGATTATCGTACCGCCTTTATCGCAGAGTCAACAAGGGCGAAACCCACATAGAACACATGACAGGACAGTGTCTAGAGGGAATTTTACGACCACAATTACGACCACCTATATTATATATTATTTGGAAAATAATGATAAATTTGTTAATTAATTAACTTGTCAACTGTTGAACATCTTATGATGTTGAATTAGGATATAGATCTACGTAAGAGTAAAAATAATATTAAATATTGTACTTAAACAATGTTTTCAGAATGACTGGTGATAAATATTATTTTTGGACAATATTGATGAAAAATTAATTAAGAGAATTGATTAAAATAACTCAGAGACGGTAAAAATTTTTTTTTTCTATTTGCTACAGAAAAGCGACCTCATAAATTTCAGTGATAAAAAATCACATTACCCGGCAATTGATTTATGCGTCGACCAATTTTTATATGTTTCCCAAATTGGAAGATAAAATTAAATGTTTTATTTTCGATTGCTAATTACTTTTTTCCCATAGACTAAAAATTAATTATTAATTTATAATTAATGTTTTTCTTTAATGGGTAAAAATAATTATCTGATTTTTATCGGGAATTTTTTCATGAAATTTATATTAAAATTTTTTCTAAGGTCACGATAAAATTGTTAATTGGTTAAATTTAAGCTTACGGTCAGCTGACATCCGATCGATCGATTTAATTTTAAAAAACTGTCACCACTTTATTTTGTCCTCGGCTCATTAAACTGTTTTAAAAATTCACACTCTATTTATCTAGTTTTTTTTTTCTTTAGTTTCATCACCATAAGTCTCAATATTTCAAAACCTTGATCTGTAAAAATAAAAAAAAATTTAATAATTATAGCTTTTAATGTACATGCTAGATATTACTAAATACTTATTAAAGAAAAATATTTCTAAGGTTATTTAAGATTAATTGTTTTAATTAAAATCTTTTGATCTTTTGGTATAAAATTATTGTTCAAAATTCACCAGACTAGATTATAAAATTATCAAGAATTTGGTAAATATTTACAACAATTTTAATTTTCATTTTTTTGAACGAAATTTCGATTTGATTTTATTGCTTTATTTTTTTTTTTTTGAAAAGTCCATCAAAAAATGGACTATTAAAAAAAAAAGTTGATTATCACAATTTTAAAAAATTTTTTAGAATCTTTTGATCTCTTGGTACAAAATTATTGTTAAAAATTCACCAGACTAAAATATAAAATTATCATGAATTTGGTAAATATTTACAAGTGGGTTCAACAATTTTAATTTTAATTTTTTTGAACGAAATTTCTATTTAATTTTATTGATATATTTTTTTCTGAAAAATACATAAAAAAATAAACAATTAAAAAAAAAAGTATATTATCACAATTTCAACAAATTTAAAAAATTTTTTTTTTAATTTATAAATTTTTTAGAAAATTGTGATATTGAACTTTTTTTGATTTAAATTGTTCATTTTTTTATGTACTTTTCAAAAATATATCAAAACAAAATAAAATAGAAATTTTATCCAAAAACATGAGAGCCAAAATTTTTTCCAACTTTTGATGAACTTTTTTGATTTAAATTGTTCATTTTTTATGTACTTTTCAAAAATATATCAAAACAAAATAAAATAGTCCAAAAACATGAGAGCCAAAATTTTTTCCAACTTTTGAAGACAAAAAATCTATCAAAATCTTTATTTTTTTCCTTCACGAAATTTTTTATCATAAATGCGCCGTAAAAAAGAGCAGAATAAAAAAAAATTTTAAATGTTAATTTTTCACATAGATATGACCAAAAATATACTGAGAAAAAAATACTTTTACTCAATTAACAATTTCTTAGCTCAAGAAATTCGATGAGATCAAATATTCTATTATTATTAATTATTAATTTCTGAAGAGAGCATCAATATTTATCTTAGAATAATAGATAAACAAGAGAATAGCTTTATTCAAATTAAGTAAAAATTATTTCAATCAATTTAACAAGTTCTTGAGCTAAGAATATATATTCTTAAAAATTTTCAAGAACATGAATTCTTGTATCAAGAAAATTTTTTTAGTAAAAGTATTTTTTTTTCTCAATGAACCCCACTTGTAAATAATTACCAAATATTTCTAAGGTTACTTCAGATTAATTGTTTTAATTGAAATCTTTTGATCTCTTAGTACAAAACTATTGTCTAAAATTCACCAGACTAGATTATAAAATTATCAACAATTTCATGATACTAAAATTAGCCGACGTTCAATAATTTTTGACTTTTTTTTATTAATTAAATTAGAACTAAAAAAATATTTTTAAAAAATTGCACGTATAGTTATTAAAATTTTCGACATGTGAAATTTTTTGTTTTAATTGTTTTGTAATAATTTTTCAATAAAATAAATTACAAAAATTCTTAGATGTCGGCTAACTTAATTTTCATACAATTTTACTAATATTTACTTTCAAAAAATTCAAGAATTTCTTCATGAACATTAAACTTCTGAATCTGAAAATTAAAACAATTTTTGTTATTACTTTCACTGTCATATAATCGTCTAGTACCGATGATATAAATTAAGTAATAAAATTTCTCAATATCCTTACAATACTTGAAGGTATAAAAGTATTAAATTTCATGATTGATTTTTCATACAATTTTTTACCCTCCACATTTTCGTAGACAGCACCCAAACAAACTAAAAAATGTTGATAAAAAAAAGTGTTTTTTTTTTTTTATATATATACTTCGCATAAATATAAGGCGACAGCTACTGTAACTCAATACCTAGGACGTAATATATGTTCATTTGATCTGCGGGTAATTTATTAAAGCAGATGTACGTTGATCTTCTTAACAATTATTATTCCCCAGACTCTCGATTATTCTATTATTTATAATATCGTGAGCATATGTAATTTAAATGCATTTGGGACATGTCAAAGCTCTGCGTGTCTATTAACATTACTGTAATCATGAAAATAATCATAATAAAATAACAATCATAATCAAATAGTGATGAAAAGAAACTTAAGAGGGGAGATGAAGAATAAATGAAAGAGTATGAATATGCGTAATAAAAACAAACAGGGATATAACTAGGCTACTTGCTACTGGCTGCTTGCTATACTCTACCTTGTCTCAAGCTTGTTTATCTTTTTTTTTCCCCGTTTTATTCGGTTAATCGCGTGTGTACCAAACCAGTCCGGCAACACGTCCCGCGTCTAATGGATTCTCAAGTACCATAGCGTAGAGGTAGTGGTGCATCAACCGTTAAAGAAACACGTTGTTAATGTTGTCATCATCATCTTCTTGCTGTTAGCAGTAGATAGCAGATAGTTGATAGTTGATAGTTGATAGTCGGTAGTTGTTAGGTGTAGTCATAGTCATGCTCTTCACGTCATCCACACACGGATTTTTTATCATCATACTTGCTCTTCTATCTCCAAGTTTCTTGCTGTCTGTGACGATTAGCAGTGATGTTTCCTATAATGTTAGTGAACTTTATAATTCATTGTCTACTGTGGGGGTAAGACACTTACCGGTTACATAATTTTTTTTTCACCGTAGAATTACACAGTGGATCCACCCGGGTGCTAATTTTGTGGAAAATTTCAAATGGTGAAAGTTACGCTGAAAATCATTTTTGGAGGTAGTGAAGTTACAGGTTCTGATGCAATAAATGTAGTTCATTGAAATTAAAAACTTTTTTTTTTTTACAAAATTTCCTGTTAGAAAAATTCTTATTGATTATCTATATTATTAAGAGGATAAGAAAAATTTTATGTCCAGGATAGTCATATGATAAAATCGGTTTTGAATTTGTGCCTTTTTAAGATTTCATATCATTTAAAAATGCTCTATCTCTAGATACATAATTAAGAAATGACCTTTTATCTTGTGAAATATTGACATTTTTAAAGATATAAGCTTACCCCGACATTACACTCATCAAGACCTTTCATTTGAGTACCCACATCAATTTTTCATATATTTATATATAATTATGTATATATGTATATATCAAAAATATATCAAAATGCATGTGGGTACTCAAATAAAAGCTCTTGATAAGTGTAACATCGGGGTGAGCTTATATCTTTAAAAAAGTCAATAGTTAAGAAAGTACAGAGCAATTTAACAAATATCTTGTGAACTATTGATATTTTTAAAGATATAAGCTCACCCCGACATTACACTCATGAAGGCCTTTCATTTGAGTACCCACATCAATTTTTCATATATTTATATATATTATATATATGTATATATGAAAAATATATCAAAATGCATGTGGGTACTCAAATGAAAGCTCTTGATGAGTGTAACAACGAAATGAACTTATATTTCTAAAAACGTCAATAGTTAAGAACGTACAGTGCAATTTAGCAAATATCTTGTGAACTATTAACATTTTTAAAGATATAAGCTCACCCCGACATTACATTCATCAAGAGCTTTCATTTAAGTACCCACATGAATTTTTCATATATTTATATGTATTATATATATGTATATATGAAAAATATATCAAAATGCATGTGGGTACTCAAATAAAAGCTCTTAATGAGTGTAACATCGGGATGAGCTTATATCTTTAAAAACATCAATAGTTAAGAAAGTATAGTGCAATGTAACAAAACTCATTATTTAATGAAGAAAAATTTTATTTATTTATAGTTGACAAGTCACGGCAGTCACGGAGTGACTGCAAGGTTGTTAGGGTACTTTTAATTTGAAAGTCAGAAAATGAAATTTCTAAGTAATCGAGTGTAGAAATTTTAATGTTAATTTATAGTTCAAAATTGATTTTGAAAGATTGTAAGAAAATTTTTTTCATAAGAAATTTAACTTTCAAAAGTTTCTTAATAATTTTATAGTATGTTATCTAAATATAGATAAAATTCTTAAAATTACCGAGGGAATTCCCGGTGAGATATTTAAAAAAAAAATAAAAAGAATATACATCTATAAATACATCTTTAATCAAAAGTGGTCAAGTAAAATTAATACGAGTGTTTCCCGGAAAAATATGCATAAGTGTATGTAATTATGACCAAAACCCGTTCGCGAGACACGATAAAATCATTAAGAACTTTTTTTATAGAAAATTAAGTTCTTGTTTCTTGGCTTTTACTCAGAAATTTAATTCCAGGTTAATTACTTTTATTACGAATTTATAGCGAGTTTTTATAATAAATAAAGAAACAAACGGACTCTGAGCTAGATGTAAAATAATTACAACTATTTATATGCTGACCTTTGAAGGTCTTACTTTTACATTTGTTTTACGACTACTTTAGCATACATCAGAACCGTGTAATGCCAGAATCATAAAACATGACAAATAATTATTGCACTTAGTAAAAAAATTAACTCGATTCAAGAGAAGAAATTTTGAAGACAAAAAATTTTGCTTTATTCAATTTAAAAAAAATCTTAAGAATGGTTTTTTTAGTTCAAGATTTCTTTTCTTGAATCATTAATTTTTTATCAGTGTCTAAAGTTAAATAAAAAAAACTTCCAATAATAATTTACAATAAAAAATAAAAATTATCGTAAATCGTAAATCGTAAATTACTTTACACCTCGTTCATACAGTGTAACTTCCACATAAAATTCTCACTCCACAGGAGACCATTAATCACTTAGTGCATTGACAGATTAATGATTTTTAAAATCCATTTATCCAACAGATAGAATCTCCCGATGTGAATGATGAATTAATAACAAACACATCAATTCCAATATGCTGCCCTCCTGGTTTCGTAGTTTATTCATCAAAATGCATCAAATCTTCAGTACCTGAGCACGCTATTAATATCACAAACGGCCTCGAATATCTGCAACTTTACACCGAAAATCATACCGAATCTGAAACAAAATGGGATTCATTAGAAAAAAAGTACGGGATACCATGTCAATCACAATTAGCCGCTTTAAATCCTGAGTATCCGCATTTCGACGTTTTTTACCTCCTTGAAAATGGAACCTTGTACTTAAACTACAGTTTGGATGGAGATTCTGATCAGTTGCTAAACGCCGACCAATTTTGCCTAGCACATATTGAAAGAGACGATCAAATTCATATCTTAGTCGCTATTTGTTCATCCTTCGAGGAAATAAATATACCGTTTACATACCGGATGGGGATTCTATTGTCCATTCCATTCTTCGCAATGACATTTTTGGTTTACGCACTGTTTCCGCAGCTGAGGAATATCCCTGGAATGAATTTGATGGCATACGTTGGCTCCACTTTTGTAGCTTATGTTACGCTGGCTATTGTCCAAATCGGAGAATGTGCTATCATTGATATGACAAACCTCTGCATTACTTTTGGTAACTATTTATTTATTTATTTATTTAAACGTTCAGATGCTAATCGGCAATATACAACAATTTAACATATAAAATTATGAATTTTAATATATATGGAGTATTCCATGCCAAATCGACCACTTTTAAACTCTACCTCTTTAGATTTAACTGAAACTTTAATGAAAATTAAGTTAGCCGACATTTAAAAATTTTTATAATTTTTTTTTATTGAAAAAATTATTACAAAAAAATAAAAAAAAAACAATTGTACGTCTAAAAAACTTCAAAAACTGTAAGTGCAATTTAAAAAAAAATTTTTTTGTCCTAATTTGATTATTAAAAAAAAATCAAAAAATTTAGAACGTCGGCTAACTTTAATTACATGAAACTTTATCATTCTTTTCTACCCTTTGAATTTTTGAGAATTTTTTCAAATTTTTTTATCCAACCCAAAAAAAAGTTATGAATTTTTCAAAAAAATGGTTTTTTTTATTTTCAAATAGCCATAACTTTTTTTGTGATATTGACTTTTGGATACCTTTTTTTTTTTAAATTTTTGTTCTTGAATGTACTTTTTGAAAAAATACAAAAAAAAAAATTAAATACGATAAATTTGACAAAACATCCGGGTTTTTCGAGTAAAATCGTTATTTTTTCATAGTACATCATTTTTTTTTTTTATTTTTTTTCTCAAAAAAAACTTCAATCAATTTGACAACTATTCCCGCTCATCCCGGACAGGGCTGATTTTTTTTTATTTTGCACGACTCATGATGCAAAGCATCAGAGAGTGCTTTACGATCGAAAAATTTTTTTCGCCCCATTTCGGCAACTATTTTTAGTATTATAGCCTTGTTAGTTCACGAAATCAAAATATTTTGCATACTATTGTCGAGATAATTTAATGGAGATTAATTCGATACTTGCTAAAAATTAATTTAGTGCAATAGAAACGGAAAAAAATATCAAAAAATTTTCCTGTCCGTCATGTATGAAACTCCGGAAACACTGTAACTTGTGAAAAAATCAATTATTTGAGTTAAATTTTTTTTTTTTTAATTCTAATCGACAATTGTAGGTCACCGAATGCATATGGCTAATTAATTCAGTATCGTTTAATTACAATTAATAAAAAACGAAAACTACAAGACTGTATACCTATATATATCCATGTAAAATAACATGGATGATGATATATCTATATCTATAGATATTATGTACATTTATTCCACCAGATAATATAGTATTTTATAATTAAATGAGCATTATGAGTCGTGCACTTTTGGATTTTCCAAACTTTTTTATTTTTTTATTCAAGTGAAAAAAAAAATTTTTTTTTATTTTAGAAAATTTGAAAATTTTTTTTTCAATTAAGCGCTGCTTGATCGTAGGTATAAATATATATCTATAGTCCCGCCGTAGAAATCAATTTCGTGGTGCAAAGAGTTTACTAAATTGGATTTCCGGTTGTATGGACCGTGAATAACGTAATTCTTGTTTGATATTGTCGTCTGAAGCAATCGGCTTCTTCTCCGTTGGTGCGATTAGTTCAAAACAGCTACTAATATCAGGAGTGTCAGTAACCCTATTAACTACTTTGTAGTATAGAAATCTAAATCGGCAACTTTGCGGCGATCATGAAGATTATTGATCTTGAAATAACTGTAGACTAAGGTCTTGCAGAACTTCTTCTGTATATTTTTGACACGTTTTATCGCAAAATCAGTGTGCGGGGACCATTTTACAGTGCCATAATCGGTAGGACCATCGATAGAGTCTTAGCAGCGAATTAGGATTTGTAAAATCCTTACTAGATCTGCTAATAAAGCCCAGTATCTTGAATGCCTGAAGGATAATTTTGTCAATGTGTTGATTAAACATTAATTTATTGTCTATTATAACACCAAGATCCCTGATCTGATGGTCTCTAATATTACCATTATTATTTTGTACTCACTCACTATTATTAGTTTTACTATCGTTACTTATATGACGCCAAGCCTAATATTTAGATGATAAAAATGATGATTCAATTTTATTCCCATCCGGCTGTCATTTTATGATAACATTTATTTATATATAGATAGTTGATTTATCAAAGAGTGCTTTTATTATTTAATGGGTATCATCATAGATATATAAATATTTATTTACATAACATTCATAACTTATTTATTCGCACTTGGAATTTACAGTTGTCAACATAATGAAATTTTCTGTGGAAATAATTTGTTTTCAATTTATTTTTTTAATTATTATTACTTCATGCAATAATTTATCAATTAACAATAATGATGATGATGATAGAAAAATAGTTACCAGTGATTTAAAAAATTTTACTAATATTCCTTTATGTTGCCCGAAGAAATACAAATTAGTTCGCGGTAATTGTACGCTGATGGAAAAAAACTCTAATATTTACTTTCCTGATCTATTAAATTCTACGAACATTATCTTCATGGACAAAAACGATGACGAAAAAATGAAATTTATAAAATTATCTTCTGAAAACATTTCCGGTGACATAAATTTCAATAGTTTCGTCCGAGATCCCTGCAATGGCGGCCCGCGATTTCGACTTAACCCTGAAAAAAAAAAAGATGAGTTAATATTTTTGATAAATGCTTCAATTTACCTTAAGCACTATCGAGAAGTAATAAATAACACGAATTATTGTTTTGGATACATCGCAGGGAGTCACTTCAGTGTGATTATGTGTCTGAAAGAACAGACGGAGAATAATAATGATAATGAAGATAATAATGGCATATTAATAAAAGCAATTGGGATGATTGCATCGGTGCCTTTTTTTCTAGCAACACTTGCTGTTTACATGATTATACCTCAATTGAGAAATCTGCATGGCTGTGTTTTAATTAACTATATTACTTGCCTTTTTATTGCTTACCTCGTTCTGTCAATTACGATATTATGCAGTTATTATATTGGTGATAATCTATGCACTGCTGTAGGTAAATTTACATATTTTTTTGCATAATCTTCGCGTTAACGAACAATTTTTGTTTTTTGTTTTAATATTGACTGAATAGAGAAGACATTCAACAATGTATATATTTGTTTTTTAGGTTAACGAAATGTTGATTGCAAATAAGGTTTCAAGTATTCTGAAAAAAATTTACGTGAATAATATATTAATTTATAATGAAACTAAATGAAAATAAAGTTAGCGGACATCTAAAAATTTTTATGATTTTTTTTTTATTAAAAAATTATTACAAAAAATAAAAAAAAATTTTTTCATTTGTTAAAAACTTCAAAAACTATAAGTGCAATTTTTTAAAAATATTTTTTAGTTATAATTTAATAAAAATTAAGCAAGATAAAAAAATCAAAAATGTCAGCTAACTTTATTATTATTGAAACTAAAATTAGCCGACAGTGAAAAATTTTCATTTAATTGAATTATAGTAATATAAAAACATTTTTAAAAAATTGCACGTATAGTTTCTCAAATTTTTTACATGCGGAATTTTTTCTTTTAATTTTTTTGTAATGATTTTATTAAAAAAAAATTCTGAAAATTGTCAGCTGTCGACTAATTTTATTTTCAATAATTTATAATAATAAAGTTAGCCGACGTTTTTAATTTTTTTTCAATAATTAAATAAAAACAAAAAACTACTTTTTAAAAATTGCACTTACAGTTTTACAAGTTTTTTACAAATAAAATTTTTTTTTTATTTTTTTGTAATAAATTTTTCAATAAAAAAAAAATTCTAAAAATTTTTAGATGTCGGCTAACTCAATTTTCATCGTAATTAGAGGATTTGAAGATGTTATTTTTTATATGATACTAAAATCAGCAAACATCTAATTTTATTATGATAAAAAAATTTTTTTATTAAATTTTCCTTATAATAATTTAAATGTTGTAAAAATCTAAAAAATTGTGAGATGTTTGTTGATTCCAGTATCATATTTTTTATAGTAATTTTATAAATATTATAAAGTTTTAAAAATTATTTGGAATTTTATAAATTTACATGTTATAAAAAAAATAATTGCATGTAACTTCACGAAATTTATAAAATTTTTTTAAACGTAACAAAAATTTTTATAATTTTTTTATGAAACTTTTAAATTTTTACATCATAAAACACAAACAATTAAAAATAATTTATTAAATTTAAAAAATGTTTTTTAAAAAATTTGACAAAATTACATTTCATATTTTAAGTTTTCTTAAACTTAATAAAAATATTTCTTCTCAAGATTTATACATAAAAAAAATTATGTAAGGTCTACTGTTTTAAAAAATAATTTTTAACTTTAAAAATAAGTTTGTTAACTGTAAGAATATAGTTCATAACTTAAAGCTATAATTTAACATATTTTTCGTTTTAAAAGATAATTTATAAATTAATAATAAATCAAAAATTTATTTCCAGCTTTCGTAATTCATTTTTCATTTTTGGCGAGCTTTTTCTGGTTGAACGTAATGTGTTTCGATATCTGGTGGACTTTTGGGTAAGCCTAACTCATTAATTAATACTACTATACATACTAACATTAAATACATCCACAATATCACATTTAAAATTCCTAATTTCTCAACTACCTCCTACGAACATTCATTCTTGATCTCATCGATACGCCTCTGGAGAGAATTGCCACCTGACGTCATCAATGCACTTAGCATAGACACTTTTAAGACAAAAGCTTATCAATTCTTCCATGATCTTGAGCTTAAGGAGAACTTGATTCCCGGCTTCACCGAAGATAATTAAAATCGTTAAAATTTGGAGTGCTTTAGCTTTAGATTTGTAAATAACTGATGACATTTCTTAAATTTTCTTTTTTTTTTGACTGTTTTCATTCTTCATTTTTCATTCATTTTTCATTATTCTGTTAGCGAAATCTAAATACTGTTATAATATTTATTTAGATATGTTTATACTCTTACATATGCTTTATATTCTTATATTTTTGTATTTTTGCCATTCGACCATTGCCTTGGCATTCAAATTAAATAAATAATAATAATAATAATAATAATTTTTCATATAATAATGAAATAATCTAGCATTGGAAATATTTCTTCACGCATTTTAATAATTCATGAGTACTTAAACTTCTATGTATGCAATTTAATAACATAATCACATATTCTTGTTTAACGTGATAATATTAACCACTTCCTCTTCCTCATGGATTGGGAAAATTACTCTTAGTTTAGAGCCAACCGGAGTCACAGAGTATTTCTGATAAATACTGCTGCTACTATTATTATTATCATCGTTATTCCCAGAAGCACACACTCATACTTACAATGAAACTTAACGCTATTGTTATTATTTGAACTTTTAAATTGCCTAAATGCTCTTTTAAGAAAATACACAACTTACTTTAAATTTATGAGAACTATATATCTCTTATATTTATGACGCACTTACAATTCAATGGCAAGCTTTGAATTTATTTCCCCGAACGGGAAACTTTAAAAAACTCATCTCTGATGGACGAGATGAAGAAATACACAAATGGTTCGTTTTTTACAATGTTTCATACAATTTCATTTTTTTTTTTTTATAATTTAACTGTATAATAAAAAAAAGGTGATTATTTACAAGTTCGTAGACCCTAATTTTGGTCATATCTAAGTGATAAATTAACATTTTTTAATTTTTTTTTGATTCTCTTTATTTTTACGGCGTATTAATGATAAAAAATATCGTGAAAGAAAAAAAAAGATTTCAATAGCTTTTTTGCCTTTAAAGCTGGAAAAAATTTTGGCTCTCATGTTTTTGGATAAAATTTCTATTTTATCTTTTTTTGATGCATTTTTTAAAAAGTACATAAAAAAACGAATAATTAAAAAAAAAAGAAGTTAAATATCACAATGTTCTAAAATATTTATAAATTTTTTTGAAAATTTGTTAAAATTGTGATAATCTTACAAGTTCGTAGACCCTAATTTTGGTCATATCTAAGTGATAAATTAACATTTTTTAATTTTTTTTTGATTCTCTTTATTTTTACGGCGTATTAATGATAAAAAATATCGTGAAAGAAAAAAAAAGATTTCAATAGCTTTTTTGCCTTTAAAGCTGGAAAAAATTTTGGCTCTCATGTTTTTGGATAAAATTTCTATTTTATCTTTTGATGCTAATTTTTTAAAAAGTACAATAAAAAAACGAATAATTAAAAAAAAAAGAAGTTAAATATCACAATGTTCTAAAATATTTATAAATTTTTTTGAAAATTTGTTAAAATTGTGATAATCAACTTTTTTTTTTTTAATTGTTCATTTTTTTATGTATTTTAAGAACAAAAATATATCAATAAAATCAAATAGAAATTTCGTTCCAAATAATGAAAATTTATATTTTTAATATCACTTATTTAAATTTTCATATAAGAAAAATATTTTATGAAGACAATAGAAATTCAATAAAAACAATATTTTCAGAAATAACTTTAAAATATTCTAATCTCAAGTTGAACGAGTGAACTTGTATTGAACTTCAAGAGCAATAAACTTTTTTTAGTACAATTTACTAGAAAGCCAGCAACAAGTTTTATAGATTTCTACAAATTGGAAACAATAAATTTTTTTTCTTCCCATATTAGAATTCGCATAGAAGAAAATTTTATCATTGAACTTCTATTAAATATTATTAAAGTTAAAAATAAAATAAATATTATTAAAATTAAAAACAAAAAATATAATTACATATTACAATTTCCTTTGTGAAGATTGAGATCATAAATGAAAATAAACATTAATTACACAAACAATATAATGGATTCGTGTCAAAACATTTGATCGTGTGTATTGTGTAATATCGATCCTCCATGAGTCTGCATGTACACGAAGCTGTAGAATAAACAAAAACAATTTAATTGAGCTCAGTATTATTACTTCGGATTATTATTTTATTCAGAGTGTCTGAAAACAATTCAAAATCTTTGTATAAACTCGTGTAAGCTTAATTATGTTTAGATAGTACAAACTATTATCTTCATTACGAAGTACAAGGAAGAAAACTTTGTGATTTTATTATTAGTGTACTTTTAATAATCCTATAAGCCTTATCGTTGTTTTATGAAGGATTACTTAGCTGTTAGTTATGTTTACGGCTTAGTACGATGCACTGCAGCGGAAGTAAATTTTATCACTTCTGTAATAAAATTTATGTGTCTGAAGTTTTTTTTCTTTAAATCAATAATATTTTTTATGTTATGATAAGACTCGTTTTAATATTTGAAAAAATTGTAATAAAAAATTATATAATTTTATCATTCTTTTTTAAGCTATTTTTTAGCTTGGAAATTATTCATAAAATTTTCAACGTCTGGCTTTGATAAAAAACTCCATTTTCGTTGACAAACTTCCAAATTAATTCAAAGATATTCACAATTGGAGATCAAGGAGGCCCAATTATCGTGTACATTATTCATGAGGTCAATTTAAATATATCAAGTTCATATACAAGTTCACTTTGACTTGGGCTCATTCAGAAAGATTTTAAGATTGTAGACTACCATAAATTTAATATTGAAATTAACAGTTATTTGGCAATTATCAAACTTTTTTTTTTTAATAAATAAATTATTATAAAACAATTTTTTTTTTTTAATTATTAAAATAATTTTTTAAATTATTATTTTCTTAAATTAATTTATTTTTTTAAATAAAATTAATAAAAAGTCAAATGTCTACTGATTTCAATATCATACTTACAAGTCTTGGTGATAAATTCCAGAATTTATTTTAACTACATAAATTTTTATTCTCAAAGCTCGGACAAAAAATTACCAAAAATTTTAAGCTTCTATTGTTGGGTTCCCCACCTTTATTAAAATTTCTCAGCAAAAATTTCTTACCCAACAATATCTCAAGTACAATAATTTCTCAAAACAAAACTTATCACAACATAAATTAATCTGACGAAAATTAATCATCATTTAAGACAAATGATCCGTGATTAATTTTCAGATAGGCACCGTGTTATGCCTTTTTATGATGGTTTTTGTGTGTGTTTATTTAACATTAAACCAACACATAAGTTTGTTACTGTGTTGTGTTTTTTTATTTAAAATAAATAAATAAATCGATTACAAATTTAATTATAAGATTATGACACATTTTTGAATATAAATATTAAAAACAATAGTGAAAATAGTTAATAGTTAATAAATAGAAAATAGTTAATAAATAAAAATTAAATTAGTCTACTATTAAATTAGTGTACAATCAACTGAATCGGGAAAGTTGGCTTACGATAGCAACAATTCTCTTTATTAAGTAAAATCACCGATCTTAGGAATAATATTTAACAATTAAAAACAATAAAAATTTTAACATTAAAACGATATAAACAAAATAATATAACTAATAATCTAAATTATGAGCAATAAGAAGTTTTGGTTTGAGAAATTATTGCTAGGATAAAATGAACCCCGGAAAAGATAGAATTGGGAAAAATTTTTAAGTTATGAAAAATTCACATTATTTAATTAAAATTATTATAAAATAAAAATAATAGTAATAATGATATTTTTTTTTGTAACAAAAAATGGAACGATCATTCTGGGGGTAGTTGTTTTTCATAAGAATTGCGGGGTAGATAATATCATTCTTATTTTATAATAATTGTAATGTTATGACAGTTGTGTTAAATAATTAATTTATTTCAAGGTATTTTATTATTTTACTTATTTATTGTCTGGGTGTAAAGTTCTGTTGTAAAAGATTTAAATTTAATTTATATTATGAATGTTTTTGTTATTAGATCCCTGAGGAAGTCACGATACGTGTGACGAAACGTTGCTGATTTGAAAAAATAAATTAACACAATAATAAAATAATTGATCTGTATAAACCTGAACCTTTATAGTTCGTAATAATTGTAATGAAATAATATAAATTTTGCATAATTTAAAAATTTTTTCCGGGTCTATTTTTTCCGATTACCGATAAAATATTGAATAAAAAATTATTAATTAGAAATTTTGTCGTAGGGTAAATGCACCAATTATTGACCGATAAAGGTTTTCTTTTTCTGTACTAAGCTATAAAAAATCTATTAACCTACTAAAAACAATTTCTAATGGATTTTATTAAAGTTAAATACTTAATTAATAATAATTAATAACTATTATATATATTAATTTTGATTATTTGAATCTTAAAATACTAAAATCACTAATTATTGACCGAAGAAACCCAATAAATGACCGACCGTTCTCCAATTAATTGACCACTCAAATAATTACAAGTAATTTTGTAAACTACACGTATGTAATTAAATTTATGCAGTACTTTCAAAGTATTAGCGACATCTTTAACAAAATTAAACATACAATATAATTTTAAACCGTACTTTTTTATAAAATAATATAAACAATAGCAATAATTAACATAAAGTCACAAATAATCGCTAATTCATTTTGATGACGATAATTCTTCTAATTCACTTGAAATTTTTGTATTCTTCTCCTTCTTTTTTTCAATTAAAGCCTTTTTACTATTTTTTAATTGCTTAGAAATTTTTTCTTCTAATAATTCGTTCTTTGATATAACTGTTCACTAAAAAAATTAGAACAAAATAAAATTTAATAATCAAAAAAGATTTTAAGTATTATTTTAATTATAAATATACATTTTATAATGATTATTTTTATATTTACAAAATATTGAATGACTAAAGTACTTTAAACACTTGACAGATTTAATTTTGGAGTTAAGAAGTTAGTATTATAATTATACGGTCATTAATTGGATTGTGATAAAATCAGAAGGTCTAATAAATGACCAAATGAATTTTTTACTGGGTAAAAGGCTTTTGACGGATCCAATAGTTGAAATAATATTAAAATAATATTAAAACTTATAATTTAACTTTATTTTTTCAAAAAAGTTGGAATCTGATCTAGAATTAACATAATAAAACTAAAATATTTTATATTATGCCGATAAATATCACTAAATTAATAATGAAATGCACTCACTCTCCAATTGTACGGTAGTTATTTTTGACCGCTTTATGGCTGGTTGCGTTGTAAACAAACTCAGAATATTTTTTTAAAGCTATAATCACTGCTCAATTAATTGCGTAATTTTTTATTATGATGATTAAATGCCATATTTTTTTATTTTAATACTTTAAGAAAAAAAAACCCTTGCAAAATATTAATTAATTAACTTTTTTGTTCATCGGTCAACTAATTGGTGACCGGTCAACAACTGATGCATTTACCCTAGTTAATTATTGTATGAGAAATAAAAGACGGTCACCCAATTATTTAAAATTAGTCCAAATATACAAACTTGATTGTTGAACTTGTTCTAAAAACTTTTCTTCATCTTCCATAGTAAGTTCATATATCTTCCTGTAAGAAACAGACATATTAGATATTTACAGACAATAAATATACTTGGCTTAAGACACTGTCATGTCTCTGAAAATACTCACTAATCTATCACCATTCTTCATTACTAATCTTCATAACAAACTCGACAATTAATTAATAACATTTGCTTATTCTAAATTCTGAGGATAAAAAAAAGAAAAAAAATATTTTGTTTGCAAGCAAAAATCCAGGACTGTACACAAATCCATATGGGTAATTATCGCGACAGTATTTAGTATTACAAGTAGTTAAAATGTGGTGTGTTTCATTTAAAACCTATATAACAATCCTATCTCATAACTCAGTAGTTTGATATTACTATATCATGTAATCATTACCAGAAACTAGATTATCCATCATTAACGTCGAGTGTATTGTGGTTGCCGTCAAGCTAGTAAATAGATCTGATCTCCTTTGTTTGTGTACTTACCATTAATCTATTTATTTTTTTTTGTGTTCTTCTTTTGTGTGTTGCCTGATTTATTAATATTTGTTTTTTCATCTATCAGAGGGTTCCGGGCGCTGCAGGGAAGCCAAAAAAAACAGGAGCGAAAGAAATTCGCTTGTTATTCGATCTATGCGTGGGGATGCGCCGGGCTTTTAACTGGAATCTGCCTGATTATGGATTTTCATCCCAACATATCATCGAGCGTAATTCGTCCGCAATTTGGAAAAGAAAGCTGCTGGTTTGCGAGTAAGTTTATGAAAATATGAAAATTTATTTATTTATTTGATTTGAATGCCAAGGCATTCATTAATATTTAGCAGATATTTAAGAAATTTTAGAAATTTTTTTTAACAAATAAATTATGGCAAAAAAATTGACATGTAAAAATTTTTAAAAATTAAAAATGCAATTTTTAAAAAATAATTTTTTGAAAAAAATTTGTTTGTTAAAAAAAATTAAAAAATCATTGTGAAAATTAATTTAGCAGATATTTAATAATTCTCGTATCAATAAATTATGGTAAAAAAATTAAGAAAAAAAAAAATTGACGTAAAAATTTCTTAAAATTAAAAATGCAACTTTTTAAAAATAATTTTTCCAAACAAATTTGTTTGTTAAAAAAAAAAATTTTTAAATGGTCAAGTGACTGCTAATTTTAATGTCATAGTAAGTTTTGATTAAAATTAACTGATAATTTTACGAATTTTTCCAACAAATAAATTATAGCAAGAGAAATTTATTAATAGAATTCCACTTTTAGAAGCTCTAAAAAATCATAAATGCAATTTATTTTTTAATAATTTTATAGACCTAGTTTGTTTTTCAATAAAAATTAAAAAATTTTCAAGTATCTGCTAATTTCAGGGTCATATAAATTATTGAAAAAAAAAAAAAAAATGAGAAAAAAATTAACATGTAAAAATTTTAGAAAATAAAAAATGTAATTTTTTGAAAATAATTTTTCAGAACAAATTTATCTTAAATATAATTAAAAAATTGTCAAGTGCCTGTTAACTTTAATCTCATTAAATTTTTTCATATAATTTATATATTAATATGCATTATTCCTCATTTCTTCTACGTTAAAGCGATAAATAACGAGGATTAAGCCAGAAGCAAATAATTACAGAAAAACGTATACCGCTTACTAAATACCCACCTTTTTCAATAAAATAAATGTTTGTTTTTTTTTAGTTTCATTTTCGAGCTGTTTTATACGATGATTAAGATTACTTTTATTTTCCAGCCGACGCAGCAAGAGCTATTTATTTTTACGGGCCAATGGGGGTGACTGTAGTTTGCAATATAATTCTCTTCATCGCTACCGCAATGAAAATAGTACATCATAAAAAAGAAACAGCCCACCTTAACCGTGATGACAATCGCAGACATAATGATAATAAACAATGGTTTGTATTAAGGTTATTTATTATTACATTATTTCTGTCGAAAAATTCATACAGTTGTTTGGAATTCAGTTGAGATTCTTGTGCCATCATTACTCTTGTTTAGATTTCTTCTTTTCTTACTAATGAACTTCATTGTTCATTTTTATGATTCAACCTGGATTCTAATACCAACTACCAGCTTGAATTTTTTGTTAAAACTACATCTTTAAATTAGTCTAATAAAAATAAAAATAAAAATAAAAAAAAAATTCCTTTCAACAAAGAAATTTCTAAAAATTTTATAAATTAATTTTAACTAAATGAGAAAATGGTGAATTAAAACTCCGGTGAATAACATCAAAATAATTAAAAATTATTGATAATCGGTTTGGTGAAAATTAAATTAGTCGAGATCAAAATAAATATAGCGGATAACAAAAATTTTTCATTGAATTTAAAATTCTGATCAAAATAATAAATTTTTTTTTTTTTCTTAATTCACCATTTTTCTAATTTTTAGAATTTTTTTTAATTGAAAAATTATTACAAAAAAATGAAGAAAAATTTTCATTTGTAAAAAACTTGAAAAACTATAAGTGGAATTTTAAAAAAAATATTTTTTAGCTCTAATTTAATAAATAAAAAAAATTAAAAACATCGGCTAACTCTAGTATTATGAAGGTTTATTTAATAATTTCGATTAATATATAAAACGTAATTTGTAGACTGTCCTTACAATTAAATGATAAATTTTATATTTATAAATAAACATGACAAAAATTTTCTAGGTTCAATTTATATCTAAAACTATTTATTGTCATGGGAGTAAACTGGTCAATGGAAATAGTATCTTGGATTTTCGGGAATAAGCCAGATTACATTTGGTACGTAACTGACGTCGCAAATACTCTTCAAGGCCTAGTGATCTTCATAATATTCGTGTGGAAACGAAAAATAAAGATTTTATTACTGAAACGATTTGGATGCAAGGACTCGAAATTTTTACAATCGCGTAATTCAACGCGGAGTACACATAACAGCTCGATGTCCACAAAAACAAACACATCGATCTTGAATCCTCTGCAAGATAAATTTAAAATGACTACTATTGATAAAAACCAAGATGAACACACTGAGGCTTTTTAATTTATATCTCTCTATATCAACCTGAATAAAAACAATAGTATATAAGTATCAATCGTATATATTTTTGAAAAAATCTATGTACAATGGCTATCAAAACTATTTTTATAAAATAGTAAAATATTCTAGTCAATTATTAACAAAAAACAGAAAGAATATTTTAGTTAATATAAGTATATAATTAATTTTTCATCACGATTAATTATCTATCATTTAAGAATAATCGTTTTATACTGATTTAATTCTGTATCTGTAAAAATATTTAAATTTAATGATAAGAGATTACTTAATTTATATAAAATAATCAATAAATATTCAATAACTTGGTGGAGTGTCCTCAACTGCTATCTTTGTTTAAATTTAAGATACCTGTCTTAGGCATAAGAAGTCAAACAACAATGTATATACCTATTGCTAAATCTAACTTATCTCAAGCAGCACCGATTTATCGCATCTCCAGTACGGTGAATCGTTTTTGTAAATTAGAAGCTTCATTCGATCCGCTTGATTGTCCTCATGGATATGTAACAGCATTACTTGGCAAATTAGTAATTAAGTGGCGTTGACGATGTGCAATTGTGTATTGGCAATAAGGAGTATTGCTATTTTGTTTTATACTTTATTTTTTGTTTTTCTTTCTTTTTATTATTATCGTGATTGTTGCACTAGCTAACTCATCACTATACCGTTCACTTATCATTTTGGAGTTTATATATATATGAAATCACTATACTAGTTATAAGTCATCTTGGCATACATCAAAAACTATTTTTGTATACTAACTACTGTACTATTAACCCTGTTAATGGCCTAGGCTATTGGGTTTGTTTATTAAATAAATAAAATAAACAATATTTAATGTAAGAAATTGTTTCAATTCATTATTCATCTATGCACAAAACTCCTCACGACTCCCTTATTAAAAATAAAGATTCAAAACGATTTAACCCATGCAAAATGTATATCTCAAGTATAAGACCCAATTATTGACACTGGCCTAAATATTGACACTTGCAATTTTATTTTAATTAAAAAAAAAAAAATCACCTCTAATAAATTAATAAATATATTTTTTGAATTATAAATTTTAAGATAATTGATTTTTTGAGAATATTTAATTTTTTTAATTAGAATAAAATTGCAAGTGTCAAACAACTAGACCAGTGTCAATAATTGGGTCCTTTACTTTATATATTTGTCAAGTTGAATCGTTTTTAATCGCTTTGAGTCATTTTGAATCGTTTTAAATCTTTTTTTTTTAATAAGAGCTGTCTCTATCTTCTAAGCTTGAAAAAAGCTGAAAAATTGTCATGTAATTGATGAATTAATCGAATTTATTTATTAATAAGTGAGGTAAAAGACCCAGTTATTGACACTTGCAGTTTTATTTTAATAAAAAAAAAAAATTCTTATAAATTTATAAATATAATTTTTAAGAAAATTGATTTTTTGAGAACATTTAATTTTTTTAATCAGAATAAAGTTGCAAGTGTCTAACTAGTTTTTCACCTTATATAACAAGCTAAATTAATAATAGTTCATCAATTTTAACCACAAAAAATACATTCAATATTATTTATTATTACAATATTTTACAAAATAATATAAGAGTAATATTCTAATCGATACTTAAAACGAAAAATATTTTAATTACACCTTTATGGCTTTGTAGCCAAAACCTACTTTAAAACATTTTAGCTTAGTGAAATTAATTTTATAACTACGCTTGATTGTATATTCATTTGCTACACAAATCCAATGTACTTGACATACAGATGCATAACAGTGTCTCTTTTAAAAAAAAAGCATTATTTGCAGACTAAGGAATTTATAAATAATTAGATTACTTAAAACGTATCACATTAATCGTACAAATAGTTGATATATAAAATAGTCTTCATTAATTGCCGTACTTTTAAGCATAATGATCTTCACGATCAGCTCCGACGCCGTCTCCATCCTCCAAGCTTGAGAAGTTAAGGAAGTGTCCGGGTCTGTGGATTTCGTGATAGAATTCCTTCGGATTTGCTAGCTGTAATTCGTACTTCATATTCGGAGAATGTTTAACGCCTGAAACAGTCAATAGATAAAAATTAATTTTCAAATATAATTGTGAAAATAAAATATTACTTAATGAGATTTATTTTTTGGTTCAGGAATTTTTCTTTTAATTCAAGTTATTTTTTTTTTTTTCAGTGTAAAAAAAATAAAAAATAAATGAATAAATTTAGCTATTTTTTTTTTATGTTATTTAAGAGTGTATTCGCTGAGCTGAATAAATGGTAAATATTTAAAAGTGGAATCCACCATTTTAATTTTCATTTTTTTGAACAAAATTTCTATCTGATTTTATTATGATATATTTTTTTTTAAATATATAAAAAGAACAATTAAAAAAAAAAAAATAAAAAGTTGATTATCACAATTTTAACAAATTTTCAAAAAAATTTATAAACTTTTTTGAAAATTGTGATATTCAATTTTTTTTTTCAATTGTTTGTTTTTTTATGTACTTTTAAAAAAAAATATATCAGAAACATAAAAAAAGTTAGCTATTAATATGTTGTAGTCACTGAATTTTAAATTTAATTTATATGAGTGAGAATTTTTAGTCAGATTAGCGCTTGATCCTGCCGTGACACGCTCACAGCCTTGTTAAAAACAAGCCAAGAGTCACATCACAGCAGCCAACTCACATATCGGTTGGTTTCAGGACCCCTACGCTTGTCATCATTTTTACTATTAATTTTTTGGTAATTATTTACAAGTGGAGTCAACCCATGCTAGCCCATGTTAATTTTTTTTTCTTTTCAATTGTTCGTTATTTTATGTACTTTTCAAAAAATAATATATATATATATATATATATATATATATCAAAAACATCAAGAAAAGATAAAATAGAAATTTTATCCAAAAACATGAGCCAAAATTTTTTTTAACTTTTGAAGGCAAAAAAATTATCGAAATTTTTTTTTTCTTTCACGACATTTTTTATCATAAATTCGCTGTAAAAATAAGCAGAATAAAAAAAATTTGAAAATGTTAATTTTTCACCTAGAAATGGCCAAAAATAGGGTGGACCCCACTTGTAAATTATGATAATAATTTTATAAATTAAAATTAAAAAATAAATGTAAAAAATTTTACCCATAAAATTGTAGTTCCAAGACCCTTGACTAGGAACCATGAAGAATCCAAGGAATCTATCCGAAAGTAGCATCTGTACTTTTTCATAATGGCTCGGCAAATATCCTTTCGGATTATTTCCTTTATCAGTGTTCTGTTTTCCCCACTCAAATCCGCTGGGTGTAAGCTTGTAAGCCGTCAACGAACAAGAACCAGGTGTGAAGCTGCAAGTGATAACGATAGTCTTCTCTCCATCCCAAACTGGATTATCAGCCATTACTCTAGCGTGTGTCGATATGTCTTGAGGAGAGAGCTGCGGAAGTTCATTCGGCTGAGTATGGATCCACCCAAGCGGTTCCATTTCCTTGAGATACTGATGGTTTGGAAGTGAGGTTGGTAGATGGACCGTTTGATGAGTTCCCCACTGCGGAGCCATCACAATACACCTAATTTCTTTTACCTGAGGATTATCTGGCGGGCTGATACCGTACAAGTACCCAGCAATCTGCGCCCGTAGATCCGAAATGGTGACAAATTTTTTGAGGACATTTTTCGGTAAGATATACGTGTAACCAGTTTCTTTGATGTCATCGGAAGAAACATAGATGTGATTTGTTCTCAAGTGCAAATTAGTTGCCGAAATAGCTCTTACTCGCCACTCAGTCTTTGAACTGAATGTCTGAGTTTCGTAATTAGACGTTGTGGCTGTTATAATTTCATCACCATGTTTGTTAACAGTTCTCGTGGTGGTGGCAGTCAATTGTGACTGTTCCTTAGTTTGCTTTTCAATTTCAGCAATTTGTTGACGTTGAGCCGACGGCGCGCTTATTTCCATACCCAAAATAATGTCACGTATTTCCGACTGGGTCAGTGAAGCGACATTTACATTATTCTTCTTACCGTAATCCGCAAGAATAAGATCTTTAAGCTGTACTTCAACCTTGATCCATTCATCATCGGTAAGTGATGGCCAGATATGATGAGGCTCTGTGATGGTTGTTTTGTCCGGCTTGAGGACAACTTTTGTTCTTTCTGTGTTAACATGCAGAGCACGCAAAATAAGAATGAGCCGAGAAAAGGCAGTGTAAGAAGAAATAGTCTTAAGCCAGTCATCATACAGATTAAAGAGCACCATCTGAGGTTCAGTTGCCTTCAAAATAAGGTCACCGAACTTCTCAACCTTCAAACAAGCCTGGAACGGCAGCTGTAATTCCGAACCCTTGATTACAATATTTGGAAAATCTAAAAGATGCACTTCAAGTGGATCCAACATTCCCTTTCTCGTTACAATAATTTGCTTAGGCTGTTCTTCAACTGGCAGCGATCGGATCAAAGCAGCAACTTCCTCAGCGGTTTTCCATTTTGCCAATTGTCCAAGACGTTTTTGTCCAGCCCAGACTGAAGTGTGGATAATCTTCAAGAATAATTGACCTGTTCGAGGGTTAAATATAAAAATAGCTCCGTTGATCGGCTTTGTCGTCAAATTACCCTCGAATGTTTTGTGAATAGTAACTCGGTATACATTAGTGTCGTCAACGAACCAGATAATCTGATTACTGAACAGCTCTCCGTAATTTTGCGATGACAGATACGGCTCGGTAGGCTCTGAAGAGTACAACTGTAAAGCTTTACGTATACGCTCTCGCAAAACATAAAGTGCAGGATTGGCCTTCATTATCTTGGCCATGGCCTGCTGGATGAGTGGTTTGCATCCAGGGAACCAATTACCATACGCACTGTGGAGATTATACGCCAAATCGATAGCGATAAGCAACCCGGTTGGTGATGGATAAATAGACATGTTGTCCGTGGTGTAGTCGAGGAATTTAGCACGAGCGTACCGTTCGATATCGTGAGAGTCATAGTCTCCCCAC